TGTGTGTGTGTGTGTGTGGTATTAACTCTGCTAATATTGGGTCACATTTACTGTACAGTGCTTTTCATTGCTATAGCCCTACAGTGTAAAGGACAGATGATCTTAGACTGTCTTTGGGACAGTCCAGGTTTTGTCTGGTCTGCAAATGGTTTTGGTAACAGGTGCTCTATACTCCAGCATTGGCTTAATGAGGTGTGCTTGCCAGGAGAGAGGTAGAGGCAAGGAGGTCATGGACATGACTATCTTTACTTCGCATTCACTCTTTGCCAAGAGCTCAGGAAGAATCCTCCCCAAAACTAGCTATAAATAGAAGCCAAATTGGCTGGTGTATTTTATCAGATTCTGTCCTATTTAGAGCAGGAGGTTCCAAATTACAAATTACTTGCAGTGTGTCCATTTGTGTGAATGTTTTTTTTTTTATATATTTCCTAAGAACAATAGAAAGAACAAAGTAACTAGCTTTGGATCTGTGTAACAGTTCTGTGCTTGTTAGCGTGCACTCTTCTTTTTCTTTTTTGTCATATTTTTGCCTTTTCTGTGTGCTTTAAATAGAAAGTGTCTTAGTGTGAGTAATCATGCCTCTATGTACCCTGAAAGCTGCATGTTTTTTGTAATTTGAATGTTGACTGTAGATATTGACTTGAGCCCTGGCATATGATTAGATTGGACATGGCATTGCCAGATGAACCTGATGCGGGTTGCGGAGGTAGGCCAAAGACCAAAACAGCTTTGGGATCAGGTTCTGAGCCCACCTTGGAGCTGGGAATGTAGCCCAACAGAACCTTTACTGAACTGAAACAAACCCATGTCCTGGGACCAGAGCCAAGGCCGTTCAGTAACAAAGGGCTCAGGTTTTGGTCCACCTCAGGCCCTGGGCATGGTCTAGTGGTTCAGTGCTCTGGTCACTCCTTACTTTGGTGAGCACTGACCTTGCTAGCCTCTATTCCATGTTGACTTGGTTCACTTCATTTTCCGCCTTTCCGGATGTTTCTGGTTATTGATTGAATGAGTGGTTTTATGAGATAGTTCAAAAACAAAGCTACTGGGAAACAGCCACTGTAATGAATATCGCTTGGAAATGCCAGTACTTTTATAGTGATGTTTATTTTATTTAGTGTATGAGGTGGTGGTTTTTGTTGGAAAACACTTTTTTATTGTTTTAATGCTGTAGGCGTAGAGGAGAGGCGCCCACTCTAAGAAATTGGTGTGCTTTACAGCTAACTTCTTTCTCTGTAAAACAATCTTTAGTCCTCATATCCAAATGTCTCTGGCCTTTCCCACTCCATCACTTTATTTCAAATAATGCACCAGAGGTCACATACTTGAGGTTAGAGTCACTTGTGTAAAACAAAGGTTGTTTTTGTAATGATATGTTTAATCTTACACCCTCTCCCTTTATTGTACCTCCGCAATATGTTACAGTATTTGTTCCAAAGCTAACATAATTCTTTCTGTTGTGTCATTGTCTCTGTAGAAATGGTTGAGGAGAGCCATGGCCCAGCTACTCCAGAGGAGATATCAAGCTTAGAGGAATTCATTCCAACCAGACTCACGTGTCTCACTCTGCTCCAAGTCTCAGTCACCGTCTCCATGGCAGAGTTCAACCTCCTTCACACCCTAATGCCTGTCATCATGGGACGCAAGGTAGTGCACACAAACCTACTTTGTTCTACATACATTCTTCTATTCTTGTCCTTCTCTTCCTTGAGAACCTGTTTTTGAAGGGTCATTAATATGCCATAGGTGATTGTGTTGCATAAAATGAAGGTGTGAAAATATTGTATATGAAGCGGAAGGCAGAAAGAATGATATGCTCACAAGGTGGTCAGACACTTCTGGTGCTGCAATGCATCTGTACAGTACACAACGCAACTATTGAAATGGAAGCTTCTGTACACTTATTTGAACAGGCAACATTGATATGTAGCTTGGATTTTAACAAATATTGATTGCCATGATACTTATGGAGGAGAACAAATGATATAAGGCGCTTTCTGCACCTTCAAAGAGGTAAATGCCTTGCTAAAAAGGTTTAAATGTGTTATATGACTATCAGAGATAGATACACTCTCCATTCTTGTAGTGAGGGGGAAAAAGATCAGATTTTATTGTATTGTAACCACCTATTTTGGTTCAGTATTATTGTATTGTATTATTCCAGACTATTTCCTATACTACTCTACAGTAAGTGCATAAAAAGATACAATTCAAACATCTAATTCAGCCATTACACACATCATTATAAAAAATCATGCAGAATTTATGTCACAAATTTAGATTTAATTAAATATAATATGGACATTTTGAATTTGGACTGCAACAAGAGCAGTATGTATGATATGTATTCTCGCTTTTAAATCCCTTTCCCACTTTTTATATCTTTAATCTCCCAGACTGCACCTGGACCGGTCAACATACCAGTGTTTCAGCCGGTGCGGCCTCTACCTTCTGTGCAGTTCCAGGTGGAACGGGTGAATGTTGAACACTCTGTGCCCATGTATGCTCCAGAGCTGGTCAGCACTGTCAGCAGTCTCAGCCAGCCTACCGACAACTTGCTGCATCACTGCTATGCACACCTCTACCTCAAGGTGAGCCTTACAACATTCTACTCAAATCCTAGCTGTCCTTTCTGTAGTCACAAAACAAAAATGGGACCTATGGCAAACAAAACTATTGATTCCTGTGCAATTAATAATAATTTGAATGAACTTTGTCATTGTGCAGAGTTGTTTCTAGGTAAAAGCTGAATCCTATATCTGCACCTGATCTTTCCTAAAAGGTCAAGCAGATCAGTGTACTGAACCAACCTAATGTCAGTTGCTACCAAGAGAAAACAATCAACAAATCAGGAAATCTAGATTAAAGTCTTAACTTGTACATTTGAGGCTTGTTTTGTGTTTGATACTATTAGATAAGAAACTATACCAGTTATTTTAATAACTGTGCACAACTGGTAGAGTGGATGCAAAACTCCCTTTTTCCTCTCCTTTGCCATTTTTAATTAGCGCAGGTTTGTGTCTGTCTCTTTTTTGTTTATTTCATTTTATTTTACATGTGTCTCTTTATGTATCATCTTTCAAGTTGACACAAAAATACGGATTTGTTCACTTGTGCAGTTCAGTTTCTGTGTACTATAGTCCAAAGTCTGTATGTCAACCACACTACCACAGTCTTAACTCTACTTTGAAAGACCCTAATGACCCTTTTAATGACCTTGATGACCCCTTTTCACCTGGTCATAAAAATCTCAGCACTAAGCTTCCTGATGAGCACCAGTCCAACTCTGGTTTAGCTCATGGTTTTCAGCTACCAACATTGATTATATGCTACTGGCTTGTATTGTGCAGCTGTGACATCCCCCTGTTACTGTGTTGATTGGATATTTTGCCTGGTAGTGTGAAGCTCTGAAGATAAAATTCATTGTTGATTAAAGTTAAAGTTGCCAATAACATCAAATTGGCGCCGAAGACAAAATCTTTTGGTTTTTCGAAGAATACGTTTAAAATCCCTGGGGAAAATGATTGGTCATGCATACTTTATCAGATTGATTCAGTTTGGGCTATTATAAAATCCTGGCATCTCCTATTAAGGGGGATTGGGGATGGGGGGCAGTCATGAGACAGCTCAGAAATTTCTGAATCAGCTGTGAGGAGCTTTTTCTACCCACTACTCATACCATTTGTTGTTAGACCATTTACTCAACATTTAAAGGTTAAAAAAAGCTCTACTATAATGTATATACAACTTTTAAGACCTCTGTACAAATAGTGTATGAGTTAATTGCAAAGCCTTTAGAAATGCCATTATTCCTCCCAGTGTGTCTTAGCGTTTTGTATACGTTGCTGTCACGTGAATTGTTTACATACACACCATTTGATTGGTCATTTATTTAAATACAGGCTAAAGTAAAGCCATATTTGAGGCTACAGTATCTACAGTAAAGTACATTTTTGTCTCCCCACTTTGCTTTTCAAATTGACCTATAGATAAACTATACAAGGTTGTATTTATAGTTAACTTGATGTCCCATTGAGTACATATAGAACTATGAAGCCTGTAGCAAATTGAGCTAATCTACCTTTTTAGGAAGCCTGGATAACAGATCTGGAGTAATCTAGGGTGGCCCAGTCTGGCCTGGTATGGCCTAGTTGTGTTTTTTTAAGGCAGGATGTTTGCTGGACATCATGCTGGTAGTCCTTATCACAGGGTCACTGCAGGGTTAACAGTCAACTGGTCAGTGGCCAAGGATCATTCTGACCAATCAGCCAATCAGCATCTCTATCTGCCAAGGTACTAATTCTACCTCTGGATTTTTGGCAGTGGGATCATGACAGGGTGGAGGTCATTCTGGCCACAATTCACCCACTTCAGGAAGTGATTTGAAACGGGTATAAACTAAGGCTTATCTTAATCTGTGTTTTATTGACACTGGCTGTCAAAGCTAAGGTGTCTGTGTTGAGGGTAGCAGTTAGCCATTGTCTCACTTTTCCATGGTTGTAGACAAGAACTCAAAGTCAGCCTGTTTGCTCAACAAGGAGGCCATAGAAGTAAATAGACCGATCATAATTGCAAACTTGAGCTATTTGAATAACTAGTTGCTTCAGGCTGCCGAAAAGAGTACAGAATTAGAAATCTCCCAGAGGAAGCTGCAGTGAATCAGTCTGTGGCTATATGGCCCTGAGCTTACATTTCAAACTGAGATTTTTATTATGTCTACATCTGTATCTGGCAATCATACAATTCAACTTGATACACTGTTCTGTTGGGTAATATGAATGTAAAATGAATTTCCATTTTTGTTTTGTCCAAAGTTTTGTCTGTCTGCGCTGGGCCATCTGCACAGCAAAGCGCTTTGGTAGACCTTCACTTGAATGAATAGAATGAATCCTGCTCTGTGCATATACAGCAGCTGCATGTGGGACAGCTGGGCCCAGCCATCATCTACTACCTCCAATATTAAACAGGACTTCATCCACCATGCTCACTATTAGCAGTATGTAAACATTGAGGTTGCAGTACATTATGTTGCTGGCTATGTGACCATCCGGAGCTTCTCTAATGAGATTATGATTATGAGACACGTTGTCACTAAAAGACACCACATTGAGGTCAGTGAGCCTAAAAATCTCTTACTGGGAAAAATACCTTAATGTTACTCAACAGAGTTGTTGGAATCTTGGAGTGATATTGACCTGATCATTAAGTATAAAGTGCGTGGCGACGGTAAGCACAGTGTTCCTTCTTCTGTTTAACTCTTAAAGTGATCACTACAGCTAGTCTGCAATGTTTTTTATTACCACCTTTTCTGTACTTTCTAATTACCACTTGAAAGTTGTTCTTAAACATAACTGTGCTAGTGAGCTGCACGAACTACCCGCAGACTTTTTACCCAGAGTGCATTCAAGACCCAGTAATGTGTATCCTCATTGAATCACAATCCAGAGGTCATATCACTTCTGCCATGTAATCAATGCCTTGAAATACTATTACAGGAAAAAAACAAGTTGCAGCTGTCTGTATTTGTCTAATATACAGTACAGATTCATTTTCAACAAGGATATTTCTAACAGTGACTGTAATATGGACCGCTGTAAGATTTGGACTGCTTAAAACATATAGGGTCAGATTGGTTAATTGAGATGAGAGAACAACAATGCTGGCTGTGTGCTCCTGTGTTTTCTATTCAGAAGCTGTGTGAACTCAATCAGAGCTGACATGTTTTTTTTCTCTGTGGATCCAGCAAATGGTTTGATCTATACATTGCTGAATTTCAATGTCTGCTTTTTTCCCTCCCCTGTCTTCTCCTTACCCTCTCTCCCTTTCTTTCTGTCTTTCTTTCCAGGTGTTTGGGTTCCAGGCAGGCTTGACATGCCAGGACAGTACAGGGGGTTTCCTGCCTCTCATCCCCATCATCCCTTCTTTCAGCACTGCACTCTATGGGAAGCTGATCCAGATGCCTGCATACTGGTGAGTTTCCGCGTTAATATGGATGGAAATCTGAGTGCAGAGGCAGGTAGAGTTCTCCTTGTAAACTTACATTACTAGATTTAATTCCGTAACTGCAATTGATTTAGAAGGTAAGCAGAGGGGAAAAAAACAATTGCACTGCACTGCAGATTACTTGATTTTGATATGGTATATTTGTTATTACTAACATTGCTACCCCAAAGTGTTTATAGGCTTTAACATTTGGTATTTGTCCTTTTTTTAAAATGATTTTGATTGAGCCCAATCCTGCACCATATTCATTTCTCACTTACTCATCACATCATCTGTCTAGATTATTATCTGTTGTGCTCATACTTGCTTCATGTTTGGTTGAATTCTGAAGCACCGATTTAATCCCAACACAGATGACTCAAGGTGGAAAACGAGTGTCTCAAAATGTTTTGTCTCCCTGGAAGCGCTGCTCTTGGCAGTTTCTGGGTGTTTTGTTCAAATAAAAACATCCCGACATTGCATGGCATCCTGAGAAGGCCTCCAAAAAGATTTACAGTCTAAATGTTGAGCAACTTACAAGTCTGGTGTGCAGAATATCACGGCAGGCTGACTAATGCTTCACCTTGCTTCACCTTCCCCTTGTAAGTGTTCTCTAAGGAGAAGCTATGGGGGCCTAAAAAAAAAAACCTGAAAAAAATCCAACAGTCCTATCTAGAGCCAGTGTTTGGTTTTGGTTTTTCTGTTCTGGGCTACTGTAGAATCATGGCGGTTCAACATGGCGGCCTCCGTGGAAGGCGAGCCAAAGCGTCTGTACATGTAAAAGGCTCATTCTAAGATCACAAAAACAAACAATTCTTATTTTTAGGTGATTAACAATAATGACAACATACCTATGCCATTTCTGCCAATAGATCCTCCTAAATGTTGTCACGGCCAACACATTCCTACAAGTAGGCGCTGTATATGTAATGTAAATTTCATTGTTTGCTAGCTAAAAGGACTGTAGGGATGTTTTACATTATACAACACCCATGGGTGGCATTATAGGTAACAATCATCCATCAATTGAACTCAGTATAGATGCATACCAAAGTGAAGGAGGCAAACACATAAAATGTTGGGTTTTTTTATTTCGGAAAGGTTTGGGTGTGCACCTCCTATGTGTATGCATGTTTGGGAGTGTTTATATGCATGCCTGGCTGTCTGTATACAGTGTCTGTCAGGCTCATGTATTGTACTTTATGAAGAGGATTGCAGCCTTTTGTGGGCAGTGGATCAGAGGGTATTTAAAGTGATGGATGAGCCACTTCTTCGGCGGTCAGTGAGGAAAACAGAAAAACAGAGTCATCGGGTAACAACTGCAACAATTTCTCAGATGGTTTGAAACACAAGGAGAGGAAAATAAGACAACGTTGTCTAAGGAGATGAAAAAACATATTGCTATATCCCTGTCCTTGTACCAGACATAAAATGACTCATTGGGGATGTCCCATCGAGAGGTGAAGAGAGGTTAGGAGTTGAAGAGAGGACAAGAAGGCAAGGAGAGGAGTAAGCGTTTGGAGGTGGAACAGTCGGACAAATGGAGGATTTAAAAGAGACGGACAAGGAGTTAATCTAGAGTCTTTAAATGTCAAAGCTATCAAAATACAAAGAGAATGGAAGAGAATGACTACACTAATAAAAATCCCATAAACAGCCAATTGGAGACAGAATGGAGAGAACTGAAAGGGCACAAAAGAAGGAGCAGAATAGATTAGTTGAGTAGAGTGGGTGTGCAGGAAAGATGGATGAATGCATGGAAGAGGCTGAATGAAGGAGAGAAAAGGAAAAAAAATTTATTTGGATGAATGGTCTCACAGTTTACTTCTAGTATGGATCTGTGTGTAGTGTTTCACAAGGCTTTACTTTTATCATTGTCACTATCATTACATTGTTGTAATGAACTTTTATTTTGAAATTGAAACCTGTCTCTCCATTCTTTCATGTATGTAAAGGTGTCTATTTATTTATTTAATGGCCTTGTTAGGGTTATGTGTTAGTTAAGTAGTAACTGTAACTGTAAAGAATGAATGAGTAGCTTGCTTGTGTCCTGTCTTCTGTCTGAACACTGAAATAACTCTGTAGCACATGTAGTTGATAAAGCAACAACTGAAAGAATCTTTCAGTCTTTGACATACAGATTTGTGTTGGGTAAAAATCACTCCACCACTGTGTGTTCAGTAATCATCATCTGGAAAACCCTAGATGCAGATGAACACACACACACACACACACACACACACACACACACACACACACACACCTCTCGCGCCCTCTCCCTCACACCTCGC